TTTTTTCTTAACATATATTGCATTATTTGTTTCAGAGGTACAGATCTGAGATTCAACAGTCTTGCACAATTCACAGCGCTTACCAGAGCACATACCCTCTGTTGGGAGGCTTTTAATTAGTGATTTAATCTCTCTTTACTTGTTACAGATCTGTTGATTCTATTTCTTCTTAAGTCAGTTTAGGTAATTTGTATTTCAGGGAATTTGTCCATTTCTTCTAGGTAATCTAATTTGTTTATGTATAATTATTGAGAGTGTTGACATACAATTATTCAAAAGTGTTCTTGTATAATCCTTTCTATCTCTGTAAGGTCAATAGTTACATCTCCACTTCTATTCCTGACTTTAGTTGTTTGCATCTTCTCTCCTTTTTTTCTTAGTCAATCTAGCTCAAGTTTTGTCAATTTTGAACTTTTCAAATAGCCAATTTTGATTTCACTGAGTTTTTTTATTCTCCGTTTCATTTATCTCAGTTCTAATCTTTACACTTTCCTTCTTTCTGCTGGCTTTGTATTTGGCTTGCTCTTCTCTAATTCCTTAAGGTGTAAACTTAGGTTATTGGTTTGAGATATTCTTTTTTAATGTAAGCATTTACAGCTATAATTTTACCTCTGAACACTGCTTTCACTGTAAGTTTTGGTATGTTGGTTTGAATTTTCATCCATCACAAGGTGTTTTCTAATTTCTCTTGTGATTTCTTCTTTGAAGAAGAAAGCATTAGGAAGCTTGCACGTGGATTCTTTCAGACTCCATGTGTGTCTTTTTCCCTTATGATCTGGCTATATATCCTTATACACCACTGTAATAAATCTTAGCCATGAGTACAACTACATGCTGAGTCCCATTAGTTCTTCTAGGGAATCTCTGAATGCGAGGGTGGTCTTGGGGATTCCCGCAGACTGATATGAGGATTAGATTGCTTAATACACGTAAAGCATTTAGCACAATACTTGGCTCATGGTAAATTCTCAAAATAAGAATAGTGATGATTATAGTGACAATGGGGATGACCAGCACACAGCCATGAACAGAACAGGTGCTCAAGGTCAATCAATCCAATTCCCATCCTTCCCTCCATCCTCTCCCTCTATATGCACTCATATCTAAGCCTCAGCCCAATACCTTTATAATGGCATCTCAATGCTGGCAAGTACCTCAAGTTCAGCTTCCTGTTTGACACAGCAGAACAGTAGGGCCCAGAGAGGTAAACTGAAATGTCCTGGGTCATGTCATGAGTTGGTGACAAAGTTGAAACAAGAACCCAAGTTTGCCCTTTAAGTTCTATACTGACTTCACTGTCACCTGGTATATGTGATGCAGACGAGGAGTAAAATAATTAACCTGGGGCTAGGCTGTCAAGAACCAAGCTGCCATGGAGGCAGAACCTTAAAAACTAGGAAGGAAAGGAAGGCATAAATAAGTCCAGCGCTAAATTAAATGAGACTATTATTTGATCTAAAGGCAGAGTAAAACAATTTCTCCCCTGCCTCTCCATTTCGACATTACCGTTGTTGACTTCTGGGGGTGAGGCCGTGGGCAGGAAGCGGCAGGCGCTAAGCGAGCAGTCACTATCATCCAGCACTGGAACAAAGGGCAAACAAGATGCAGGGGATAGCCAGTACATCTGGACTAGAGAACCCCGATATAGAAACCGGACCAGGTAAATGGAACCTTCCTATCGGTGCACAATTGCTCAAAATTCTGGGCCATATGTGAAATGAGAAGACACCAGACGGGACCAGAGACCCTCTTGAGCCCTGTCTAGAGGCCTCAAACCATGGCCCACCCCCCCCGCTCACCATGAAATGTGCAAATGAGGTGTGCAGGAAAGGGGCACAAAAAAATGTTTAAGGACAGCCGAAACAATGCTCCCGCCAGGCTTATGAGGTGAGAACTCTCAGGAATACGGTCCGGAGCGGTGGCTACGCTCAGCGCGCTCCTTGGAAACAGCGGCGGTGGCAGTGAAGCGGGCGTCCTTCCCCAGCCCCACGCCCTTAAACTGACTGCTCCGCAGACAAACGGACAGACACACAGTGCCTCGGTGCGAAGCCTAACCGACCGACGGACAGCGGGCGCCTCTGCACAACGCACTGCCCGCAGCACCTGCCTGGAGACGCCGCGGCGGAGGCTGCAGGGGCGGAAGTGCGTCATCGCCTTTCCGGCCCTCGAACCCGCGCCCGCTCTAGCACGCCCGGAGGCCGTCTCTGCGTGTCGTTGGTCCTCCCGAGCCTCTCAGTCCCGCTTGGAGCTCTGTGCCCCCCTCCTACGGAGCTGCGGCCCTAGTTGGGAAGGCTGAGGCGTGCCGCAGGGCTCCCGGGGCTCGCTCTGGGTCGCTGGCCACTCGGGAGGGTTGGCCGGGCAGCCGCATAGGCCAATTTCCCCGGGGCAAGCTAGCCTCCGCCCGGTAAGAGCCAGTAAGGACTGCCCCCGCATCAGTCCCTGCTCAGTGGCTCCAGGTGGACTGGACCAGTGCAGCGCAATAGGTCAGAGCTCCAGTTCGCCCTGAGCCGGCCGACCCTGCGCTGTGCTGAAAACGCTTCCCCCTCCTCCGAGCCCTCCAGCCACATTGGCGCCTGAGTGGATCTGCACCCGTTCCTTGAACGGCCTGCCACCTACACTGAGCAGCACGTCCCGCATGCTCCCCGACCTCCACGTCTAGCCCCACCACCACACAGCACGCACCGACCTGGCTTTGTCTTCCTCCAGGCCTCCACTTAATCACCACCTAATCAGTGTGGCTTTCCTGACTCCCCAACCCCACTTCCCGCTCTGTTCCTCTCACTTGCAACACTTAACACAATTGTAATTAGAGAGTTGTTTAGGCAGTGATTTAATATATTTTCCCCTTCCTTAGACCATACACTCCAAGAGGGCAAGGGACCGTGCTCTCTGATTCGAGGTTGGTTATAGCAGAAGTTCTGGCCGTAAGTGCCCAGTAAATATCTGTTAATGGATAGATGGGGCTGTTCCAAGGAAGGAGGGAATGAATAAGTATAGATGAGAATGAATGTAAGGTGATGCTGTGATCCATTAAAAACTGGGGAACAAAGTTCAACTCATGGAAGTTGGCCCACAATTTCTGACTGTAGATTCTAAGGCGGAGGAGATACTGATGACTTGCTGTGGTTGCCCTAAGCAATCAGAGAGGACTCCCTGGAGGCAGAGTGTGGACATTTCCAGCTCCCCACAAAGGGGAGCTGCACAAGGCAAAGGGAATTCACTCTAGAGGACACGTGGAAATCTGAGGAAACAGAGTCCCTATTTGTGGGTCACTTAGGAAGTTAAAGAGTAACCTGGGGGTTATCAGAACTAGTTGAATTGAGACTGAACCTCACGTTATGGCAACAATGGCCTTAGAGTCAAAGGCACAGCTTTCTCCTTCTTGGGCCTGCTGGCAGGGACCTGGCGTGACACCTCACAGAAGGTCCCCAGTAAATGGTCAGCTCACCTCACCGAAGCCAGGACAGCTGTGAGAGAAAGTCCCCACTACACTGTGAATCTACATCCTCATCATGAAATAAAGCAATTGGTTTGAAGTCCTTATCATCTCTGACATTTTGTATTTGTAAGACTCCCAATCTGCCCTTGCTGGACAAGTGTGCAAGCCAATGGGGCCAGCAGGCCCCAGGTTCAGGGACTGGAGTCTGAACCTCTGCTTGGAGTGTCGCCAATCTGGGAGGCTCTGAGGATCATTTAAAGATGAGGAAGGGAGTTGGGGATTAACATAAGAATAAAAAAAAAAAAGAAGAAGTATTGAGGAAACAATTACAAAAAAAAAAAAAAAGATGAGGAAGGGAGAGATATGAAACTTCATAAGTGCTTGGTGCATTTCTGCTGAATGAGCTAACAAATTAATGAATAAATGAATGTATGAGAAAATAAAGGTGTGAATGGTCAGTAAACCACGCGGGTGGAGTGGGATCAAAGAAAGCTTTGTAGACTCATGCTGGAGCTGAGTCTGAAAAGATCAGAGCAAATCCTAAGCTGGTGAGGGGACTGTGACCATAGCTAGAGGCTTCTTTCTGGGCTTCCTTCTGGTCCCACCCCCCTCCTCCCACCAGGTTGAAGCAAGCGCTAAATCTAAGAGAACACTTTTCCCCCAGATACTGTCTCGCCAGGGTTATTTAATAGAACTTACAGCTACAGGGCAAGGTCCAGGTGGACAGACCTTTTCATCCCCAACTTGTCACAGCTTCTCAAAAGCTCTCTGGCACCCAGAGAACAGTGTGTCCAGAGCTCAACCTGGAAGAGCATAGCCATGGTGCTATGGGGTCTGATGCTGGGAGCCCTGCTGGTGGTCACCGTGGGGTGCCTGTGTCTGCTGGGGCTGCTCCGGCGACGCAGGCCCCAGGAGCCCCCTCTGGATAAGGGCTCCATACCCTGGCTGGGCCATGCCATGGCTTTCCGGAAGAACATGCTTGAATTCCTGAAGCACATGTGGGCCAAGCATGGAGATGTGTTCACAGTGCAGCTAGGGGGCAAGTACTTTACCTTTGTCATGGACCCCCTCTCCTTTGGCCCCATCCTCAGGGATGCACAGAGAAAACTAGACTTCATGGAGTATGCAGAAAAACTGGTGCTAAAGGTATTTGGATACCAGTCGGTGCAAGGAGACTACCGGATGATACACTCTGCCAGCACCAAGTACCTCATGGGGGACGGCCTGGCAGATCTCAACAAAACCATGCTGGACAACCTGGCCCTCGTTATGCTGGGTCCCACGGGCCAGAGTCTGGGTTCTAGTTGCTGGCGTGAAGATGGCCTCTTCCACTTCTGCTACAATGTCTTGTTCAAGGCGGGCTACCTGAGCTTATTCGGCCATACAAAGGACCAGGAGCAGGACCTGCAACAGGCAGAGGAGTTATTTGTCCAGTTCCGCAAGTTTGACAACTTGTTCCCCAGGTTTGTTTATTCCTTGCTGGGGCCCCGGGAGTGGCTAGAAGTGGGCCGGCTCCAGAGCCTGTTCCACAAGATACTCTCTGTGCAGCACAACTTGGAAAAGAATGGCATCAGCAACTGGATATCCTACATGCTTCAGTATCTGAGGGAGCAGGGAGTAGCCCCAGCCATGCAGGACAAGTTCAACTTCATGATGCTCTGGGCCTCCCAGGGGAACACGGGCCCAACCTCTTTCTGGGCCCTCTTGTTCCTGCTAAAGCACCCAGAAGCCATGCGGGCTGTGAGGGAGGAGGCCACCCAAGTCCTGGGGGAGGCCAGGCTGAAGGCCAGGCAGTCCTTTGACCTTGACATCAGCGCCCTGCACCGCACTCCAGTGCTGGACAGTGTGATGGAGGAGACGCTGCGGCTGGGGACTGCACCCACCCTCCTCAGGGTGGTGCACAGTGACCATGTCCTGAAGATGGCCAATGGACAGGAGTACCTGCTCCGAAGTGGAGACATCGTGGCCCTCTTCCCCTATCTTTCAGTGCACATGGACCCTGACATCCACCCGGAACCCACTGCCTTCAAGTATGATCGCTTCCTCAACCCCAATGGTAGCCGAAAAGTGCACTTCTGCAAGGCAGGCCAGAAGATCCACCACTATACCATGCCGTGGGGCTCAGGTGTCTCCATCTGCCCTGGGAGGTTCTTGGCCATCAGTGAGATGAAGCTCTTTGTCCTGCTCATGGTCACATACTTTGACCTGGAGCTGGTGGACCCTGACACATCTGTGCCACCTGTGGACCCCCACCGCTGGGGCTTTGGCACCACCCAGCCCAGCCACGAGGTGCGCTTCCGTTACCGCCTGCGACCTACCCACTGAGCTCTGCCAAGGTGGCCGCGAGCCTAGCCTCAAGACGTCCCTTGGGAGTCTCCACCTCCTCCAGCCCCTCTGAAGGCCCACCTTTCCCTCGGGTTCTGTGGCATCACCTTCCTCTGTCCTGGTCGCCTTCCTTAGCTCTCTGACTTTTCCCAAACTTAGTTTGGGAAATAACGTGTACTTTGACAAGTCCTGCAGTACAGAAACTGGTTATCGTGAGTAACGGAGTGTCTTGCTAATGTTACCCTCCATCCTCCCACCTCACTTTATTATTTTCCTCGACGCCTATTCCACATCCCGTGGAATTCAGGTTCGTCCAGAGCAATACAAGGCAAGCCTCGTGTGTAATTTTTCATTTCCTAGTTGACACATTTTTAAAAAAGCAAAAAGAAACAGGTGAAGTTCATGTTTATAATATATTTAACTGAGCCTAATATATCCAAAATATTAGCATTTCATTATGTCATCAATAAAAGAATATTAGTGAAATAATTTTACGTTTCTTTTTCTTGTGTTGCCTTCAAAATCTGGCGTGTACTTTTTCCCCTTGCAGCATGTCTCATTTCAAACCAGCCGCATTCTAAGTACTCAACAGTCACAAGTGGCTATTGGCTCCCGAATTCATAGAGCAGGTCTGGAGACATGGTGCCTTTCACGTAGGAGTTATTCAAGGTCCCTGCTCCGTGCCGTTGTCCCCCCTCCACACCCCCACCCCAGGGTGATCTCATCCCCTCCTCTGGTTTCCACAACCATTGCTGAGCTTGGAGCCCCTCCTACGTCCAGACCCTCATCCTTCCCACCGGGGTCCCACAGCCCCTCTGACTCAGTTTGGCTCACGTAGAACTCAGCATCTGTCCCCCACGTCTGCCCTGAATCACGCCCTTCTCCGGATTTCCCTGCCTATCTCTGCTCAGGACACCACCACCCACCCCATCCCCCCAAGACAGATACAGAGGAGACACCCTCACCTCCCCCACTCTCACCCACAGTCATGCCCCAGTTCTGTCAGTTCAAGCCCCTGCAGTGTCTCTGAAACTGTCCCCTTTTCCCCACCCCCACTGCCGTTCCTAGAGCTCAGCACTCTGCGTCTCTCCGCCACCAGGCCTGTCTGGCCCTCTGTTCACCCCGACCTTTCTCCAAACCTTTCGCCTCTGATTGTCCTTCTCTCATTTTTCTGGCTCCCCATCCCTCCACACACCTAACATTTAAATTTTGCCACAGTCGGTCCCCAAATTTTCAACCCAGTGCAATTCAACATTGCCAACTTTGTCTAACAGAATGGTCTGCAAAGTAGAGTGGCTTGCTGTAATGGCCACCCCTGGTGCTGGCTACTCCTGGAAACCTTCCTGGATCTCCCCTCTTCCATCCCCTGCCCCAGAACGGACTCCATCCGCTGAGGTTCCCCTAGCCCTGTTCACATCATAGCACATCTGTTCTGTGTCATTGCTTTCTGTGTCCTGCTCTCTTCCTCCCGGCCCCTCCCTCCGACTGGAGCTCATAGGGCTTGGTATCTTATTGCTCCATCTCTGACCCCCAATTCCCTAAATGGAGATTAAATGATAGAAAATTGACTCCATCTCAGCTGTTTTACTTCATGTCCTCAAATCATTTCCTTCCCCACCCTGGCCTCACTCCGCTTTCTGGCATGTGAGATGGAGACAATCCCATTGCCAAGCATGCTTACCAGGGCTGGGAGGGGGGAGAGTGGTTTTTTTGTTTCGGTTTGTTGTTTTTCTTTTTTTCCATAGGTAGTAACAGCTGTAAACCCTCAAACCTTCACAGAGTAGAGCCGTGCCTGTCCTTCTCCCCGGGTCAGCCAGGGGAAAAGTCCAGCTTGCCTCAGAATCTGAGGACCAAGAGAATCCTGGGAGCTTTCCTGGAAAGGTCTGAGCAGTGCAGCTAGGAAGCCAGGCCTTTGGGCAGATGCAGCGCAGCGGGAGGGACCAACATCCAGGCTGGGAAATAAGGGCAGGATGGAGGGGGCTCTGTCCTGGCCCGGGCTGTGAGAGCCCACCTCCAATTCTCTCCCTGACCAGTGCCTTCTGTGCTCTAGTCAGAGCCCTCGATATGGTCAGCAATGCAGTCAGTGGCAATGAGGACAGTGAAAGGGATCAATGGGTCACCTGTGGCCAGCCCTTCTCCTCCCCCTTGGGCACAGGCTTCAGGGCCCTTCTTATACACCTGCTGTTTGCAGAGAGCACATACCCACACTCACACAGCTAGAAAAAGATACACAGGAACACACAGAAAACCTGTGCGCACAGACCCAGACCCATGTGGATACAGTGACGTGTTCATGTCGGACCCACATACACAGCCATATGTACTATGCACAGCCCACATGGCAACACACACACACACACACACACACATAAATGCACCAGTGCTGGGGACAAGCCCTGCCAGGTGTCCCTCGGCTGGCATAGCTTGTCCCATCCCATCTGTGCATCATGGATACAAAGTCAGAGACTCTGGGTCCCTAGACCCTGTTGGTATAGTCAGGCTGCTCGTTGGGCAGGACTGAGGTCCCCAGTGGGGCAGATTTCAGGAGCTCTAAAATAGAGCCCCACCCCCACATCCTCAAGCAAATCACCACCTTCAGAGCCAAAGCTTCATTGCCTAGGGCACCACGGGAGCTCAGAGTCCTTCATGACAGTGGGAGTCTGGGGCCTTGGGAGAGAGAATTAAAGGCACAAGAGCTGAACAAGATGGAGGCAGGGGAAACAAAGAGTGAAAGATCAGCACAGTCAACTCTGGCAACATTCAGGGACAGCCCTGCTTGTGACACACGGGCTGTGACTAGAGCATCTGAAACTCGGGGGAAGCAAAGAAAGAATGGCAGAATATTGACCACCTGCTCCATTCTCTATTGATCCAGTCATTCATTAAAAAATATACTTAATGAGCCTCCGCTATATTCTAAGCACTGACTTAAGCACAGGGGATATCGATTTAATACATGGCAAAGTCCCTGCTCTCCTGGAGCTTGCATATACCTAGCCCTGTGTTCTCTTGTCCTCCAGTCTATCCACCTGTAAGTTTCCTTCCGTGCATTACCATCTGCTAGGCTCTGTGCTGGGTTTTTCAGGACCAGCACAGCAGGATGTGGGCAGGTTATACCAGGTGGTTTTGGTAGGTGGGGAAAAGCAGTGAGTGCTTTAGAAACTCAGGAAAGAGAGATGTCACTGTGTGCCAGGAGCTCCCTGGGGAAAGGTTTTCAGTAGCCAGGGAGGATGCTAACCATTGGAGACATGAAGAGGGAAGCACCCAGGCAGGGTACATCAGCCAGGAATCCTTGGATTGCAAGTAACAGAACATCACCATGTGAAGGAATATATTGGTTCGTGTAACGGTCAAGTCCACGACTGGGATGAGCTTCCACCTAGATTCTGGGACTTCCACACTGCCCTCGGGGTCTGCTCATTCACAGTGCTATCACCTCACCCTCTGAAGTTCGAGTTGATGAAGGAGCACCCCCACACTGCACATCCTCTTGGCTTCAGTCTCATGCCTCTGTTCTAGCATGTTCTAGTTGCCGCATTTCACAAGCTCTACCTGGGTCCTGTGCCCATCCTAAATGAATCACCATGCCAGGAAAAAGTGAGGCTGTAACTGGCCCAAGTCCTGTGCTCTTCCTGAGCTCCACCCAAAGCACAGGGCAGAGTGAACAACGAGTGGTTTCTCAGAGCAAGCAGAATTCCATGACAGGACAAAGATGAATGGACAGCTGGCTGAAAAGTGACCCCTGTTACACAAGAGAGTGGGCAAGCACAAAACATGGAGGTGGGAATGTGCAAGAAACAAGGGGTGCCTGGTGTCCAGGAAATGAAAAGTAACGAAGGGTATAAGGGTAAGCTGGTGTATGGGATTCTCCTTGTGAAAGCTCCAGGCTCAAAGCTGGACAGACTTTGGACTTGATTGTGCAGGCCCCAGGGACCCCCGAAGGCTCCAGGGAGGGGGCATGGGAAGCAGAGGGAGGATGAGCCTCCTGGACTGTTGGGAACATGTGTTCACTCCGCCTTCCACCTGCCAACTCTCACGTTCCGGGGAAGTTCCCCATGTGGGGCACTTCCAGCCCCTCCTGCTCGCCAGCCTCTTGGAGCCACCATCAACGCTGTGACATTAAACAATATTGCAGCAATATTTCCCCAGCTGAGCTCCAGGGAAGGGAGCCGACTGGTGGGTGGCAAGCCTTGGGCTACTCTGAGGAAGATGGAAGTGATGGCTGAGGGTGAGGTGATCGTTCTGGCTGGTGGGTACGGATTAGATGACAGGAGAGCATGATGACAAGAAGCACAGAGGTCAGTTGGGAAACCACTCTAGCAATTCATGCAAGAGAGTATGGTTTCCTGGAAGGCAGTAAAGAAAGTGGAGGAAGGAGGCAAGAGTAGGCAGATGCCGCTGATGGTGGAGCACTGAGAACCAACCACGGGACGTGGCAACATGGTCCCTGAGGCCTTGGCCTTTGGAGAGAGGAGTTTGGGGGGATGCCCAACTGAGCTAGGTCCCATCCACTCTCACCGGACTGTGGTATGGCCACTCAGGCTTGATTTTCCCCCACATCACCCTTGTTGGGTGAGCGCTCAGCCTGCCTCTCCCTGAGGTCATGCATGCCAGTCATTTCTTCTTGGGCAGTGAGCCTGCTACTCTCAGAGCTGCTGGACAGAGGGGCCTGTGCAGGGCCAGGTGCCTGGGGCCGCCTGAGCACAGTGACAAGGAAAGCCTTCAGGTACTGGCGAAAGTGGCGGCTGGAGAAAGCATAGAGAACGGGGGTGAAGCAGCAGTGAAGGAAGGCGATGCTCTCTGTCACCTGCAGTGCATAGTCCAGGTGCTTGGTAACCTGGCATTCCCCAAAGACTTGCAGGTCCAGCAGTGAGTGCAGAAACAAGGTGAGGTTGTACGGGAACCACAGCACAAAGAAGGCTACCACCAGGGCTGCGACTATCCTTAGAGCCCGGCCCTGGCCCGGGGGCCTCAGCCTGACCAGCACACAGCCAATGCGGGAGTAGAAAAAGACCATGACAAGGAGTGGAAGGAGAAACCCCAGGAGGTTCTGCTGGAAACGGAGGAAGAGCTTCCAGATGGTCGCATGACCCCCAAAATCTGCATAGCAGTTCCACACACCTGTGGGGTTTTCATGTGTCTGCACAAAGACCATGTCAGGGATGGAGACAGCCAGGGCCACAGCCCATACCATGGCAGCCAGGAGCAGACTTTTCGCCCGGGTTCTCAGCCTGGGATGGGGCTGAGTGTGGACGATCTCCAGGTACTTGTCCAGGCTCATGCAGCTAATGAAGAAGATGCCACTGTAGAAGTTGATGGTATAGAGGGTGCTCACCATCTTGCACAAGAAACTCCCAAAGACCCAATGCCAGGCCACAGAAATGCCCCAGAAAGGCAGT